GCCTTATGGTGGTCATATATAACCTTCCTCCATATCACAATTCATACCCTAAGTGCAAATTCATTACATGACAATTTTAGATTTTACAGGAAACCATTCAACAATTATATTTAAAGCATCCACCCCTTTATCCAATGGGTGATATTCTATACACCATACTGACTGCAAGGAAGAGTTCTCTTAACCTAATCCCAAATAAAAGTGCAAAATTCATGAACACATTCACTCTCGAACACATACAGAAATAAATAACTTTAAACACAAATACACTTGCCAGAATTAAATCATGAAAATCACACCAAAAATAAGACAAATTGAAGGCAATTCACAACATGTGTAAATTTACAACTTACAGTTTACAACAATAAATTGTATACAATATATACTGAATGCTTATGACAGCACAGAAACTGCCAGTAATAAATGAACTATTTGAAGGATATCGTGAACCACATCAGAATCTTCTAACTGTATCTGCTAGCTAGGACTCATATCACAGTACTCAAACTATAAATAAGTAGCAGATTTAAAAGATATATATAGCTTATTTTATTTCGAACAAGTCCCTTTCAATACTTAAACCTCGTGTTTTCTAGGATGCTGTATTGCTTAATAATCAACTAATATGATTCATTGTCAACATTTGAATTTAATGTTTAAAAAACTTACCCATTTTGGTAGTTTATATGAAAACTGGCAAGCTAACATTATCCCCAACAGATAGGTGGTATATGTAATGGATACAATCTGGAATTATCTTGTTATAACAAGGTTGGTATCATACACACTTTTCAGGGTTGTAAAGGAAAGCCATTTCTTCCACTTGGTTGTCCAGCTGCTGTGCCTTCTGCCTCATGAGGACCCCCTGGCTCTCACCTTTATATTGTTATACATGCTGGTAGCCCTTTAAAAGTTCACCTACTCCTCCCACCCCGATGTTTCCTGTTTCGGTCCTTGCGTGTGCCTGCAATCTTCTAGGACACTTTCCACCCTTCTTCCTTACTTCTGGTTCAGTTATATATACAGTATACATACCATTGTACGTTTCTTTGGCCAAGACTATCTTGGAGACAAATTTTGGACTTTTTTTTTTTCCATACTTCTTTCTAGTAGGTTAAATTTGTTCTTGACTCAAGATTGCTCACTTCTACTCCTGACTCAGTTCCTTCAGCTTGCCTTATTTTATTCCTTCTGAGTGTAAGTTTAATTCTTGTTCAACCCGTCCTCTTAAAAATAACGTCACTTTTGGCTCGTATGCGCGCTATGGCTAAATTTGGACGTAATTTGAAATGAAACCGACTCACAAAAGTGACGTTCTGTTCCGTTTTCTATTTGAGTAGGCTGGCGTACGCGCAGAGGTTATGAGAGGACACTTTAAATTCACGTTTTTCATAACGTTTTGAAACTTTATGAGAATTTCCTGCCCACCTAACCTATCAGAGGACCCTTAACTTACTGTTGTTGAAAAAAAAAAATCCCAAATTTATTTTCATTTTTTTTTTCATTTTCAAATTACGTCCAAATTCGGCCATGCTGGCAAACGGCCAAAAGCGACGTTCTTTTTAAGAGGACAGGTTGATCTTGTTTGGCAGTTGCTTCAGAGATCAATTTTTATAATTAAGTTAGGCATTAAACACCCAACCCACAAATCTGAAAATAAAGGAAATGACTTGATATTGGTCCAGGATGGACCGAAATGTTGTTATCACGTAAAGGAAGTGAGGACAGCTTTAGTGGCTTTGCAAGAATGCAAAAATACCAATCTTATGTACTCTCACAAACCCATTGTACCTTCTTGTAAATTATCATTATATTATTTATTATTATATTCAGATTTGTGGGTCGAGTGTCATTTTCATCCACATTATTGTGACTTCTTGTCTGCAAGTTAGGCATGTTTCATATGTTTGGTATTCAATCCTTTGAATATTTGTGCCACTTATTTTTGTTAAGTATTATCATATTAACTTGTTCTTGTTAATTATTTCAAGACTTATCAATTGTTTGAGTTAAATTTAATATTTACTTTAATAGTTAATTTGAACTATTCTTAAATTAATAAACTGTTACATTCCATCCTAATCCCATGGCTTTCATTTGCAACCCAGAAACAGAACCCATAATAATAAATAATAATAATAATAACAATAATAATAATGAACAAATCCACAAGGGCTTTGACGAGGGTTCAAACCTATACTCTGAGCGTTCCCAGGCGCACTCTAGTCAGTTGACTAGAGCGCGTCTGAGAACATCCCGTGCATAGGTTCGAACCCTCATCAAGACCCTTGTGGATTTGTTCATTTGATATATCACGTTATTGTGATTTCTGTGTGGAATAACAATAACATTGAATATTGGTCCAGTGCCTAAAAATTATGCTGCTCGTCATAGTAATATCTACAACAAAACTCTTAGGACATTATAAATTAATCAAATAAACTTTTGCATCCACATGCCTGACAGTAATTATGCAATTTTCTATTGCGAAAGGACCACAATCTTTATTATGTACATGCTTAGTGCACTGCCTCCTCTGCTCCTCCTCTGAGGTGCATGTTACACCTAGACAACCTGGACATAATTCAGTGAAAGGCAACAATTTTAAAAGTGGTAAAAGGCATTAAATATGAATGAACCCGACATGGTAAACTTAAAACTGCAGCAATGCTAAAGTAGTACAAGTGGGTCTTTGGTTTGCTTCAATAGAACCTTGTTACATTAGACAAAGAATACTATTTAATATGACATGATCAACATTAGTATATTACTGCTTCCAAGAGCATGGCCACTATGTCTGCCTACAAGGTTTATGGTAACCCAATATACTGCCATAACAAGTGCCCAAGTTATTGTCAAAACTATCTTGTGCAATTTCTCCAATGTTTTGCTGATCATTAATGCTATATCAAGTGGTGCCATGGAGTAGTAGTTTTATAATTCTTAAAACAGCCTACAGCTAAATCTTCAATTATCTCGACTTTGTATCAAATTAGCCAGAGACTGCTGAAATCCCACTACTGCACTGTTACCTATGTGTGGTGACCAGACCTCACCTGATCTGAACTTAACCAAAACATGGGCAATTATTGCTATATTCACACTTGGCTGAAATATGAGAAAAGACAAAATATTTAATTTAAAATGGTTGGAAGTTGATCTATTACTGTATATGAAGCAGCATGTAAAGCTCAAGGTTGTGTAAAGTGACTGCTTACTATGATGGAATACATCAGGTATTTAAATACATTTAGTCAATGGCATTTTAAAATCTAAATTTTAAAGTAGATTATGTTTACAAAGTCATCACAGTTGTGCAATGAAAGCTTTACCCTCATGATACATATTTAAGGGCTAAAATCAGAGGAGATTCATCTTTTTTCCATTTCTTGCAGGGGGGGGGGGAGAAGAAAAAATCCTTTGGTAGTTAAGACTCTTATCTACCTTTATCCTCTGATGTACTTGTGCAACAAGAGACAGACTGTATCTAAACATACAGTAAGACTCTCATAATTCAGATATGCTGGAGTGTCAGCCAAGATGGTATTCCAAAAACCAGCTTTATAACTGCTCTATTATATAAAAACAAACTTTTAACAATAATTATTCTTGATTTTTTCCTAAGTTTCTTAAGGATTTGCTTTAAGGAAGTTTCAGATTTGACAGCATTTACTAGAAATGATCTAAAACAAAAGAAATAAGGTAGTTGTACTGTACTTTGTTATCTAAACAAGCTAATGGAGATTAGATAAGTAAATACACTAAAATCTAATGTGGTAGAGCTCTATGCAGTTTGAAAAATGTACTAGATGGCGAGACAATACTGTGCTATTTTGTTACTATGAAATCTGAATTGTTTTACTGCCAATTTTTGCAGTTAACACATCCAGATCAAAGCAGTCATGCACCTACATGCCACACCACCATCATATCTTTTATCATATCTATTTCAGCATTTTATCCGCTTTCTCAACTGCCATTCTTTCATGCTAACTAAGGATCAAGTTTTCATGGATTTTTATAAATTTATATCAACATGTGACTTAAAAATGGTATTTCATTTTAATTTTCTAAATGGAGCATCTTGTAATCATAACAAATTACTGTACTTCATGTTAATTTAGCAACGATAGTACCAGTAATGATGTACACTATATATTAGTAGTTAGCAAACATGTTCTTAGTACCTAAATCTTGAGAGTTTTACTATAAAAAGATAAGTCCGTGTAAACATTGTGCATAATCACATGTCAAATCTGACTATGACTTTACAACAACCAGATAATTTACTCATGTACAAGTAATCACACTTTTGTACTCTACAACATTATTTTTGTATACTAGTTTCTCATAATTAAAATTGTGTCATCTATTACATGCATCTATAAATACCATCAGTTCCTTTTTTTTATTATCATAATAAAAGTATAACCTCTTCACATGCATGTCAGCTACCAGCTCAACTCGGTGTGATAACACACCTTCCCTTACGTTCAACTCTTTTCATCCACCACTATATAGTGCACTAAGTAGTTCGTTTTAAGACAATTTATATATTATTTATCTGAAGCTTGAGCATCCTGAACAAGACTCCACACTAACCTCAATTTTAATGCAATATTCTTGCAATCAAAATCAGGACCTGTGATATACTGTACATGGTATATTTACTTTAAGTTTAAATTAAGTACCCCAGTCAGTTATGTATACAGTGTGCATTTGCAATGTAGGGGATGTATTGGTAGTTCCTTTGGAAACATTACCAAATTCCTGCATTATTATTATTATACAGTGGAACCTTTATATTTGTCAGCCCCTATACTCGTCACCATCCCTATGCTAACATTAAGGTAATGCTTCAATTGGGCCAAAATGCAGAATATGGTCGAAAAGTGGCACCAAACATTGTCATAATTCATCAAAACAAACGCATCCAATCATAATGTGATTGGCTACTTCATCAAATTATATACATACATATATACATACATATACATACATATATATATATATATATATGTGTGTGTGTGTGTGTGTGTGTGTGTGTGTGTGTGTGTGTGTGTGTGTGTGTGTGTGTGTGTGTGTGTGTGTGTGTGTGTGTGTGACAGCAAAGAATTTGTCCAACATTCTTTTTCTAAATTAAGTGCTAGTGAACTGTCGGCAAAGGGGATAAAACGACAACGCTCACCACAACTGGAGTTTTTGTATTATTTTATGTATAATTTATGTATTATTTTGGGGGGCTGGGAATGGAGTAATTGAAATTCGGTTATTTCTTTTGGGGAAAATTGTTTCCATAATCGCCTGGCCCTCAAGAACAGATTAATGACAAATATTGAGGTTCCACTGTATTCTTGTAAAGAAATTCTTAATGCTTCCAGTCATGAAATCTTTTCATGACACACACCACTGTCATTAGGACTATGAACTTCTTCTCAATAAATTACTTGAAACTTTTATTGTCAAATTTTTTTCTGCGATAACCTGTTTTGATCAAGACTCGTTTTTCAACACTGGAGAAATATTAACCCTCTGGAGCTTTTTTCTTCTCTGGCTCCATCTTAAACTTATCGTACTTCCTCCAGGAGCCACTGATACATGTCCCTGTCCCTCGCCACCAGACGTTGATGTCTTCATAGTGTTGCTGGTGAGTATCATCATGAAGCATCGCACACAGCCGACACATAAAGTATGTATTGATGAACTCTCCCGTACCTTTCCACCTGTTGAACATCAGTCATATTTGGTGAAAAAGTTGAATTCTCCAAGTACTGTACTGTAAATAAAGCTTATGAATACACTGTACACAACTACTTTGTTAGATCACTGATTAAAATCACTACTGTATCTATGCATCAAACCGATCACTGTTCAAACTTAAACAAATATTGTACTGTACTAATAAAATACAGGATCTCAACTAATCAGCCTACACTACTATGTACATGTACTATGTACTATATCCTAATATGCCATAATAATACTACTATTTTAATAATTCAATTGACTAATAAACAAGTTTCTGAGGTGCTATAATAATATCATTAGTGCCATATAAATACAATAAAATAACACACTAAAAAAAGTATAAATAAAAGCTAAAACAATAGGAAACAAATAAAACTGGGCTAAGGAAGACGATCATGTATCATATCATATTTTGCTGTATTGTAATTGGAGACTATGGTAAACCTGGCTGAAGATCATTAAAAACCATAACATATGGCAGAAAGTTCAACGTTCTTTCACAAGAAAAACAACCTGGGATCCAATGGAAAGCGGACCAACAACAAACCACCAGCAGTTGGTATCACAAAACCAGATGCAACTCCACTGCTTCTACTATAATAACTATAATCTATGGTTTTCAACTGAGCTGGTGTTGCTGAAAAGTAAACTTCACATTTTGGTTAGCAACTTGTGTATTACCTGAATTTATCCGAGGAGCACCGTGTCTCTAGTGGCCTCAGCAAGAACAGGATACCTGAGGTTTGTCAAAGGTCTCCCCTCCCCCCCCTCCCTCAATGTTTCTTGAATATTTTTTCCAGTTGGATTTTGAACTGCAGTATTGTCTTGGCATTTATGGTCCGGAAGGTAGGCAGTTTCATGGGTGAAACCCTTTTCATCCCTATGGGTGAAAAAGCATCTCCTGTTTTCCGTTCTACGTTGTGGCTTGTTAAGCTTGAAAGCCGTTGCTCCTTAAATGTGTTACATGTGACCGTTTAAAATAAGTGGTCTGGATCAACATACTCCAAACTTCAGTACTGTATTTTAAAAGTTTGGATGAGATGAGCCGTGCCATGTCTGGCTTGCAGTGTTGGCCGACGTTCTCAGACAATATGTGGAGCACGTAAAAATCCTTGACTGGCCAGAGTTGGGGGACCCATGTGAGTCTTCAAAGATCAACACAAGGAAGTCATCGGCAAACAATATTCCCCACCAACACAATTGGTTTTATATCCAGGTGAACTTCACAGATATGAGGATCATGGCCATACTTTTTTGGGTGAATAACAAAGTCACACATCTCTACACACCTACTTGTCCAAGGACATCTGCACACTGCATTCTGCAACCGACATCAGTACACCCTTCATGAAAACTGAGCATCAGGCTACCTCCCCATCCATAACCTTCATGAAAACTGAGCATCAGGCTACCTCCCCATCCATAACCTTCATGAAAACTGAGCATCAGACTACCTCCCCATCCATAACCTTCATGAAAACTGAGCATCAGGCTACCTCCCCATCCATAACCTTCATGAAAACTGAGCATCAGGCTACCTCTCCATCCATAACCTTCATGAAAACTGAGCATCAGGCTACCTCCCCATCCATAACCTTCATGAAAAGAATGGGCATCAGGAAAGGTCACCCACCCATGTCCTTCATGCATCTCTCAACTTTTACACTCAAGAGGGTTTATACAGCACTGACAGAACTTGTCAAAGAATTAATTTTCCCACGTTCATTATTGAAAATCTAAGTGGAGACTGAGTTGTGTGGTTAGAGCTGGATCACTGTGCTTATCCCAATAAAACTTTGCAGGGAGACAAGATTCGTGGGTCTTGTCGCACACCACACAAGCCTCGGGACGACCAAATAATGTAAATAAAGCTTAGACTTCACGCCCCAGCACCCCACCGACCATGGCCGACCACAAAGTAGTACTGTATAAGGGCATCAAATGTAAGGTCACTGAAGTATTCACAGTTGTGCGCTGGATGGTCAAATAAGAGTCCCCAGGACCCATTATGGGTGTTAACCTCATTGTCCCTCACCAAAGCAGTATGTTGTCTACCAGAGGCCACACATAAAAAGATAACAGGACAAATGTCACCATGCCAGGGAGCCGGTCGGCCGAGCGGACAGCACGCGGGACTTGTGATCCTGTGGTCCTGGGTTCGATCCCGGGCGCCGGCGAGAAACAATGGGCAGAGTTTCTTTCACCCTATGCCCCTGTTACCTAGCAGTAAAATAGGTACCTGGGTGTTAGTCAGCTGTCACGGGCTGCTTCCTGGGGGTGGAGGCCTGGTCGAGGACCGGGCCGCGGGGACACAAAAAAAAAAAGCCCCGAAATCATCTCAAGATAACCTCAAGAAGATGCCAATCCCGGACACACTAGAGGTATATAACCTAAGGTGTACCAGCTGCCCGTTCTCACCACTGGACGCTAATAACTAATGTTTTCCCTAACCAGAAACATTCTAAGCTAAGGTGGAGAACCTTAGCTTACAATGAAGCTAATTGCACTGCTTGAGCCAGAAGTGGGCTAACCAACTACACTTCACAACACCTCCCTGGCTTTTGTTAGAATTGAAGTCCACTTCCACCACCACGTGAAGGTATTGCTCATAATGGGGGGGGGGGAAGGCTAAACACTATTTCTCTTCTAAACCAAAAATACAACTCTGCAAAACAAAAAACAAAAAAAGGCGTTAAATGTACAAATGCTCATTACTATTTTGTCGCTTACCTAAAATACTCATTATAAAGATCATCATTTTGATCAAGAAGATGAAGAAAGTTGGCAAGTTCTTTAGGCGACTCGAAGTCGTCAACATGTATGTATGACTTGTGTGGAGCCTGGCGGGCGTAGTCCTCGGGGTGGGCGCCCATCACGATAGGCAGGATGTGGTGGCTGTGGAGAAGATCACGCGTTAATACTCTACAAGTACCTTTCCATTATATACACTCAGTAATCACAAATATTCTCAATAATAAGATATATAAGCAAGAAACCGTTAGTAGAATTTAAGAGTTTAGGGCATGCGAGATACAATATGCCCAGACCAGCCCACAGCCTCATACACCTCAACTGTTCTTTAATACTTGTAGTAAATCATGGTTAATATCGATGGTGTTTATTGTGAACAGTATCGCACTACAGTTGAACAAATATTTCAGTAGAGCATCTGCAATACCGCGGACCGCTACATAATATCAGAGATGGCCGAGTACTTGGGAATATTGGAGTTATGGGTCGAAAGAAAGCATGGAAGAGTGTCTGGGGGGGGGGGGGCCCATACACGGAAGAGTGTCTGAGGGGGCAGCCCAGACCACTGTCTTGGTCAGAGACACAGTGGACCTGGCCACTGTCTTGGTCACTGGAGCCTGGAGCCACCATGCTGGGGAAGTACAGCATCTTAAACACCGCGCTGCTCCGAAGGCGACTGGCCAGTGTCTTCATATTTGGCCGGATAATATGTTGTGGTTGTGTTCTTACCGAGAGGGATTAATGTGGCTGCTGCTACTGGTCTTTCCACAACAGTGAGCCGGCGCCCCGTCCGCCGGGCACGTTCGTCCAGCCAGCGCCCGACCTCAAACATGTATTCATCTATTTTAACGTAATGTGTATTCAAAATTGGTATTTACTTTATTATAAGTTTATATTATTATATATTAGGATTGTACATAGGCGTAGGTTAGGTGTTTAGATTATGTTGGCAACTTTTTCAAGTACGTTGGTGAAGCGTTTAGAGCAACCCGTTCTCAGACCAGGTCCATTCCATCCAGCGGTCGACCGCAAAGACCCAATTCAACAATTTTAACATGCTGTTCATTCAAAATAGAAATTTTCTCAAATATAAGTTAATAGTGTTATATATTAGCATATTGTGCATATTTAGGCACTGGTTAGGTTAGGTGTTTAGGTTCTGTTGGTGAAGCATTTACAGCGTTGTGGTTCGAACAAAAGTCGTCAGTGAAGCACTTGTTCCGGAATTTTTCGAACGTCATCAGTTGAGAGCTTGTGTAAGCCGCTTTTCATTCCTAAACAGCGGGTTTGGCGGGTGCATGGAATACACTTATGGATTTTTGTTTGGAGGACGGGCTGATATTTAGAGAGGTGAACAAATCCATGACGTGCCATGGATTTGTTCCATGTTGGAATCCATGGCCGTGACGTGATTTGTTCATTTGATGCATCACGTTAGTGTGATCTCTGTGTGTAATTTAGAGAGGTGCTATTCGAACACAGTACGAGAGCAAAGCATTGTTCGAGGAAAGTTCAAACGTCATCAGTTGAGAGTCGTGTGTAAAGTGTTTTTCTTTAAAAAAAAAAAAGCGGGTTTGGCTATTGGACTAACGAGAATTTGGTCAATGTTTATGGAGCCGGGCTGTGGGCAGCAATCGAGAGGTTTACCTGTCAGTGGCCAGGGTTCGATTCCCATGTTGGGACCGAAACCTTTAAGATCATAAGAATAAAGGTAACTGCTAAAGGCCTATTGGCCCATACGAGGCAGCTCCTATTTATAACCACCCAATCACACTCATATACATGTCCAACCCACGTTTTAAACAATCGAGGGACCCCACCTCCACCATGTTACGCGGTAATTGGTTCCACAAATCAACAACCCTGTTACCGAACCATTATTTACCAAGGTCTTTCGTAAATGAAAACCTATCCAATTTATGTACATTGTTTCGTGTTCTGTCTTGTGTTGATACTTTTAATACCCTATTAATATCCCCACTGTTATGTCATTCATCCACTTGAATCCACTTTGGGCAACAAATCCTTTCACCCGAATGTCTTTTTACCTGGCAATAAATAGGTACCCGGGAGTTTGGCAGGTGTTGTGGGTTGCATGCTGGGAAAGGCCAGTAATTGGCCTAGGAAGGGGGTTGGAAAAGCCTGTCCCAGACTACAGGAAAGCATACGGTGACCCATTGGCTCGTCTGCCACCCCGCCTCCCTCACCCTTTCCTCCCCACACACGCAGCTGTATGGCGTTGTTTTAGACTTGGCTACTCGGAACGAAATGTCCATGTAGCGCGGGCTATAGTGAGCCCGTAACGCTCCTGTAACACCATCTGCCACGTGTACTTAACACACATGTGTTAAGCCTCATGGCATGACTGCCACAGTGAACACCTGCCTCCACGTGACGGTAACTGGACCCGAGAGAGGCCTGGCCGGCCCCTCCTGGACCCGGGGGTCCTGGCCGGCCCCTCCTGGACCCGACAGGGGCCTGGCCGGCCCCTCCTGGACCCGGGGGTCCTGGCCGGCCCCTCCTGGACCCGACAGGGGCCTGGCCGGCCCCTCCTGGACCCGGGGGTCCTGGCCGGCCCCTCCTGGACCCGACAGGGGCCTGGCCGGCCCCTCCTGGACCCGACAGGGGCCTGGCCGGCCCCTCCTGGACCCGACAGGGGCCTGGCCGGCTCCTCCTGGACCCGATAGGGGCCTGGCCGGCTCCTCCTGGACCCGGGGTCCTGGCCGGTCACCTCGCCAGGCTGTGGCCGGCCACTGTGGCAGTTTAAGTTACTTTTTGTGTATGGTGATGATTTTTTCGTTAGTGGTAATAATGAGAGCAGTGGCGAGATGGGTACAAGACAATGTCGTCCTCCACACCGCCTCCAGGCCACCTTCCACGCCACGCTGTGGTGGCGGAGGTTGTCATGGTGGCCGGTGGTGGTGGCCGGTGGTGGTGGCCGGTGGTGGTGGCAGGTGGTGGTGGTAGCAGGTGGTGGCGGCGGTTAGTAGTCGCATGGCACTGCAGTACCAACATGAGGCTATGAGCTGCGCCCGAGTGCAGAGGACAGCTACAAAGGACCCAGAGTGCGCTTCACGGATCGATTATGTCCGCATTGCTTTGCGGTTATGAGCGCGCTCTCACGCAGAAGGCCACTTCAATAGGAATCCAGTGAACCATCGAGCAACATCGGATTCTCAATTATTGGCAAACTATTTCAGTCCATCAAATCTAGATATCTTTCCTGTACCCGAGCTGTAAGATTCACAGCAGCTCACCAGAAGAGAATACAAACATACACGATTTGTCTTGAAAATCTTGTCTCAATAAACCTACATATGTTTATCTCCGTATCTCTCTCTGTTCACTCAATTTGGCATATAGAACCTAGATTTAGCTCTTGAGCCCGCCTCTTCTAATAGTTTCCGGACCCATAATTCTATATAATTTCTTCATCACTTCTCTTGCTGTTGCACAGCGGGAGAAATGATGACAATGTCCCTAAGGATCTTTGTTCACGATTATGTTTCCTCTTTTCATCTTTTTTGAAATATACAAAGATCCCGTTCCTTTAGTCTTTCCTCTCAGTTCTGGAACCTGTCTTGTGGTGGCAGGGACCAGGCAATGTCCCTCTCTGAACCATTTATCTCTCCAGTTTGTACTCAAGTCCCCTCGTTCTCTCCTGCACATCGAACAGTCAATTCCACTTAGAATGTCATACGTTATCATCATCATCGCCGTATTCCTTCTTTCGTTCAGTGTGGTGAGGTCCAGTTCCCCACAGTTTTTTTCTTCATAGATGAGTCCCCTCAGCTCCAGAGCAAGCCTTGTTGCATAGCTTGGCACCTTAGGGTAGTTTGCATTTGTGCTTGTGTAGGAGCGCGTGTGTGTTTTTGTCATGCTTATCTCTCAAGGGTTGGCGAAATCCAGCTCTTGGACCCCAACGCTTACTGCACTTGGTACTTTTATATTTAAACCGTTCTCACTATGTCATGTTTAACTTGAGATAAAGAACTGACGTTGTTTCCAAGGTTTATGCTTCACGCTCTATCATCTATTCCTCTCAGGATCTTGTATGTTGTGATCATATCACCTTTTTTTCAAGCTTTTGCTGTGGAAAGTGAGTTTTCTTAGCTTAGTCTGTTCCCAGAACCAAGCTATCTTTTGTGCTAATCTCAAAGCAACTCTCTGGAATTTCTCTATTTTTTCATGAGTTTCACAATGTAGGGATTCCATGCTGGCGCTACATCTTCTAGGACTGGTCTGACGAGGGTGTGTATAATGTTCTCAATATTTCCTTGCTAAGGTTTCTAAATGCTATTCTTGTGTTTGCATATATTGTTGATGTAGTTATATTAACATTTGCCTTTGGTGGTAGTGCTGGCGGTGTGCTCCTTGTGCTGGGTCCTCCTCCTCCTCACTGTTGCAGTTGTCTTTCATTGATCCTGATCCATGTTTTTGGCATTCTAGTACTGCTCATATACTGTATTGCTTTATAATTACTGGTATTGAATTCCAGAAGTTATTTATCTAACCAAGCTTTATCTTGTTTAGGTTCTCCTGTGTTGTACAATATTCACATGGCCTTTACCCTTCTCACTAATATGTCATCATCGGCACACATTACCTGGTTGATAACTGGTTGATGGGGTTCTGGGAGTTGTTCTACTCCCGAAGCCGGGCCCGAGGCCAGACTTGACTTCTGAGAGTTTGGTCCACCAGGCTGTTGCTTGGAGCGGCCCGCAGGCCCCACACACCCACCACAGCCCGGTTGGTCCGGCACTCCTTGAAGGAAACAATCTAGTTTCCTCTTGAAGATGTCTTTACATTGACATGTAAGATGGTGCCACCTCAGACAGGTCGTCTACATATATCTGGAACAGTAGGTGGTACAAGGTTCGAACCCTGTGAGATACTGCAGGGAAGTCTTCTCCCCTCACCCACAGCCCACACATTAGTAATCAACAGACTATGAACAGTATACACAAATGCAGATGGCATCACAAATAAGTCAGTGGAACTCCAGTATTCCTGCTGCTGCTGCTTCCTCTAGTTTTTGATCACTTGACACCACCTTTGAAATACTTGAGCAGTCCCCGTGGCGCAGTGGTAAGATACTCGCCTGGCGTTTCGCAAGCGCCTCGCCTTGAGTTCGAATCCTGGCC